GGCTCAAAATTTCCACTCGCCTGCTCGCATTTGGCGAGTGGAAATAAAGTGAGGGCGAGCCAGACACGAGATCCATCCGCTCTCTCCCTTCTCTCTTCTCTCCTGTACTTTCAGTTTCCTCTTGCTTCTTCCTCCTACGATCGACTCCGGCTGCTGTGTCTTTGTTTAGACAGGTGACAGGAGACGTGTCTATTAGAAGACAGCGTCTCCTGTCACCATGGATACCCGCTCTCTACTGCTCATGTGCAGGCAGACGGGACCATGAGCTCGAACTTAGTGGCCCGGCATCTAGCTATAGGCGTCCCTGTTCCCATGGCAGCACAAGTCGGCCTGAACTAACGGCCGGGTGCTGTAATCCCTCCTTTGATCGCCACGCTGCTATTTCCCAGGAGGGGGAGACCGATCTGCAAAGGGTCATGGACGTGATTTGAGCTCTGCAAGCAGGTACTCCAGTCTATTCTTTAGGATAGTTGGAAAACATTCCCTTTCATGATTGTTTAGGTTTATTATTTTAATTATCTGGCGGGAATGTGACATCATACTGATGCCATAGGAAGTTGGGGGCAGTTCTTTACTGTTTTTCTATTTGGTGATTAGGTTTTTCCTGTATAAAGTGTTGCTGGGAGTTGTAGTCCTCTATAGCTGGTGCCATTCTGCATTTTTGTATAAAGTGTTGCTGGAAGTTATAGTCCTCTATAGCCGCTATCATTCTGCATTTATTTATAAAGTGTAGCTGGGAGTTGTAGTCCTCTATCCAAAAATGCAGAATGGTACCAGTTATAGAGGACTACAACTCCCAGCTACACTTTATATATAGTTACATAGTTACATATTATTTGAGGTCGAATAAAGACATTAGTCCATCAAGTCCAACCTATTAGGATCTCATTTTAGGAGTACCTGTAACCCTGTATATTACGGTCCCTTAATATAAATGCAGAATGATAACAGCTATAGAGGACTACAACTCTCAGCAACACTTTATAACTGGTTCCATTCTGCCTTTTTGGATAAAGTGTTGCTGAGAGTTGTAGTCCTCTATAGCCGTTATCATTCTTCCTTTATATATAAAGTGTAGCTGGGAGTTGTAGTCCTCTATAACTGGTGCCATTCTGCATTTTTGGATACATTTTCCTTTATGTTTACATTGCTTTATGGTAATATTGTAAAAGTTGTTATTTATTTTTGTAAATTTATTCTGAATAAAACATTTAACAATGTAATTTCATAAGATAATTTGAGAGGGCGTGTTTAGGGGTGGAGTTAAGGCCGGGGCAGGGTAGGGGTTAGGTGCGGCAACTGGTGGCGAGTAACTTTCAGGCCTGGCTAGTAGCTTAAGACTTGAAATTTTGAGCCCTGATATAGGGTACATGCTTTAATTGTTCCATATATCTCCCATATATCCAATTTGTTTTATAGGTGCCGATATTCATGCAGTTGATCCAAATCGGGGATTCACATCAAGAGAATGGGCAAGGTTTACAGGGAGATACGACACAGCCTATCTCATGCAAAAACTACTGGAAAGACCACTGGCAGAACAATTTAGTGATCAGTTTAAAATGGAATGGCCTAAAATGAAAGAGCTTCTTGCCAAAGCAGCAGAACCCAAATCATGTGCACAGAGAATCTCAGAATGTATGAAATCAGCTTTTACTTTTAATTATTTTAGTGACCCAGAAGAAGATGGGGTTCTTGATTACATGGTTAGAATTACTACAGGCATGAGCAGCCCATTTGTTGCTGTTAGTTGCAGAACAGTATGTCCAGGCAGCCCACCCTGTATTGGTAAACGTAGATATTCTGTTCAGGAGATTATCAGAACACAAAGAGCAGAAGACATAAAAGTTTTAGACAAAACCCACAAAAAATCCTATGAAAAACTTTTCAAGAATACTCAGGTTATTGTAGTTCCCCCAAAAAAGGAAAGGAGAGCCAGTCTTCAAGTAAATGTATCTCAAAGAGCTGCCGTAATTAACAACAGACGAACAAGCCTTCTACCTCTACATTTATTAAGAAGAAGCAGTGTGAGGCCAGGTTTCATGATTCCAAAAGTTCGCATTAGTAAAGCACCTGCACCTACTTACCACCCTGAAAAATTAAGAAGACGGAATAATGTTAATGACAACACTTGCTTGCAGATTCCAAAATGGCGATATAAAGAGATAAAGGAACAGAGAAAGAAAGCAGAGGAAGAGGCACTTCGAAAACTTGAAGAGGCACAAAAGGAAAAAAAAAGTGCTAGACCAAGAACTTAATGGTTATTTTTTTAGGTGTGGACCAAAACACTGTAAACCTATGACTGAAAATTAATACAAGTGTATTTCTCTGATAAAAGCAAGCACTTTTTATGTCTCAATAAAAGTAAAAGTTCAACTGCATGTAGAAAGCAAAATAAATTGAATACTTATACATTAATAGCGCACAATGCAAAAGCTGTAATGCAGGAATGATGTGTCAATGACAAATTAGAGATCTATACAGTACAGTTTCATGACATGCCATTGTGTCTGTTATTGCATGTACCGAAAACATCTACAATTGTTCTGCTGCAAAATTGTTTGTTGATTATTCCCATTTGAATCGTGAGGATATTTAAATGCATAGATAATGGAAACCTGTCATAAGAGGTGATTGCAGCCATGTAACTTATTTATTTGCACTAACAGTTGTTTATTCAAGCTTTTGGGAGTCTACCTTTTTCCACTAGGTCCAAGCAGTACTTTCATGAGAGAAATACGTAGACTGCCTCTGTTGTTCTCCTTCAGAAAATGCTGGTTGTTCATGTTGTGCTGTCTGTCTGGCTCCAATATCCTCTATGTCACAGATCCAAAACAAATCTGCAGATCCAGAGTTGTCCACATGTTTCTGGGTTCCAACTGAATCTATTGCTCAGAAACAGCCAGGGAACTACTTTTCAAAAGGTGTTGAGCAAAGTCAGTCCACGCATTTCTCACATGACAGGTGTCCAGTAAACTTTTCAAAGTGCCCAATTCAACTCAACTTAAAAATGGGCAGAAGCTTTTAGCATTGTTCTGAAAGCTTCAGTTGCCAAGTATTAATATTTACAGTGCTTTTGTTTCTCCCCAGCAAGAGGAAAATTACATCACTTGCCCCTGATGTAGGCACTCCCTTATCAGCTCAGAGAAGTAACAAAACTAATTTCTGCAACATGGTTGGTTTTTGATACATGCATGCACAGTTTTCCCCCAGCTATACAGGGATTGCAAAATTAAAAGTTTAGTTCTGCCTAAAGAACTAAACTGCAGTACTGTGCTGCAGTACTGACATGTAGGGCACAGCTGCTCTCACACATAGTACAGCAGTACTTTCATGCAGCCTATTCATCAGATTTTGGCCAGTGCTGGGTGTAAAAAAGTACTGTATGGAGTGATACTTGGCAACTGAGGTCAGTGAAGGTTCTCTTTGATCCTGGTTGTGACATAGCTAGTAGTAGTTAATTGGACTTGTTATGTAATGTTGAAGATATTTTATAGCTTATCTAAGCCACTTCTTCAGTTTTAATAAGTGTCAAGAATTTACCCCAGCATTTATACCCACACAGGTAGCAAAGACACTTAAATCCAATCATCATATAATGTGTCAAGACAGATGTTGATTGTCCAAGAACAGGATGGGAGGTGTAAAAGTTGTGGAACCACCCTGTTCTAGTTACATAATTCCATCCTTGGTGGCAAGAAGTCTGTATAGGTGTCAATCATTTGATTCTCATGGCTAAAGGTACAAATTGTTGTGAAATCGCCAGGGTTGAGATGTTAAAATAGCATTACATGTGAAGACAGATAGTGTTGAAGGCCTCCACCCTTTTCAGGGATTGTTGTTCCAGTTTGACCTAGGCGTCCTCTTTCATGCTAGTTGTCCTCTCTGTCTAAAATGTGCAGTCTTGACCTATATAATTTGCCTTCCTATGTTGGGCCATTCGTTTGTTGAGAGGTTGCTTTGTCTCCCCAATATACATTTCTTTGTATTCCTCTCTATATATACAAGATACTTCACTTGTGTTTGGGTTTGGTTTATGATGGGTGGTGGTAGCCAAAAAAGCAGATGCTGGTCTGTGTGGGTAGGTTTTTCTGTAGAAATACATTTCCAAGTCAGCCCCCTCCTTGACATGTAAAAAACAGCCCAAAAAGGGTAATTTGTTATTCTGAGTCTCTTCCCAGAATCAGTGGACAAAAACTTGATGTTTTTGTCCACTTATTTTATGTGTTTACTAAAAGCTTGTATTGGAAAAAATGTTCATGCAAACCTGCAGAAAATATGTTGTGTAGATGCTCAAGGATAACATAATTATATCTTTGACTCCTTGGGCAAGCTTCACTTGCAGGAATCACATGAAGGATTTCGCCCGGACAGACTCTTTTGAGTCCTAGATGTGCTGTGTCTGGGTTTCAGGGCAGCTTAAAACCTGTACACATGATGGGGCAGGGCAGCCACGGGGTCCTGGTGTTCCAACTTGAGTGCATGGAGTAGGCATGGGACACGGAGGGACGCTGGAACTCGGGGAACAAGGAAGTGTCTGAAACACAGGGTGCAGATAGGTCTTGAAGGGCACAGGGGTTCTGCTTCAGGCAGATGTGTTGCTCACTATCTGTTCCTACTCTCTCTCTCCTGGCTGTCTCTCCTCGCTCTCTCCACTTGCTTTCACTCCTGGCTGTTTCCTCTCCTGGCTGTCTCTTTTCTCTATCCTGGCTTTCTCTTTTCTGGCTGTCTCTCCGTTCTCTCCTGACAGTCTCTCCTCTCTCTCCTGACAGTCTCTCCTCTCTCTCTCTTATTCCTGGCTGTCTTTCCTCGCTCTCTACCTCCTGGCTGTCTCTCCTCGCTCTCTCTCCTGGCTGTCTCTCCATGCTTTCTCCTGTATTTTCTTCCAAAAAAAATTTGCCACATGGCGCTAGAGTGTTCGGGTTTCACTTGAAGAAAAGGTGGCAACCCTATGCAAAACCAACTTGAGGTGAAAAAAAACCTAGTAACACAGGTCCTTACCTTGTAACTACGGTAATACCAGTGTATGTACTTCTGTGCAGACTGCAGCTAAAGAAAAAAGGTACTGTATATTTCCCTCTCTGCCTTTTCTGACAGCTTTTTTCTGTCCTTGCTAGGACTTTCTATCTACACGATACCTCTATTCAATCAGGCAATCTCACTGCAAATTGCCCCAGTATTCGTATCTCTGGCATGTGGCAAAAAAAGACACTGAAGAAATACATGAAGTTATCCACAGGTGTTAAATAAGGCTGCATTGAAAGGAGGAGTGTGCTGGTAGAAACATTCTATAACACACATGGTTGCTGGCAAAACAAACATTTCTGGATACTATTTTATTTAAGGAAAATTACATCACTTGCCCCTGATGTAGGCACTCCCTTATCAGCTCAGAGAAGTAACAAAACTAATTTCTGCAACATGGTTGGTTTTTGATACATGCATGCACAGTTTTCCCCCAGCTATACAGGGATTGCAAAATTAAAAGTTTAGTTCTGCCTAAAGAAGAGTTCAATTGGGTATTTATGTTACAGTGCCAATCTACAATAAATATAATTAACAGTTGATTTGTTTTTAGAATTTAAGCAAGCTTGCATTCCTATGGGTGTGTTACTGGTGAAATTCAGTATTGGTGCGAGCTGAACAATGACATAGAGTAAAACTCTATGTGGCTGGGATCTGCAAAATTGCTGCATATACAGCAAACTTTGATATTTTGCAATCCCAGCAGAGTTTTAATAATATGCTTGTTTTATGCAGTTTACATCAATACTGAAGTTAAACCACAGCAAGTACAAAGAAGTGCAAATGTATGAGAACTTTAAAACTAGCAGTGAATATGAAGCCTAAAGCTTGCTGGTAGTTTCCTCACATCTTAAGGTGCCCATACACCTGCCGATAATCGTGCGATAATCGTGGGAAATCCCGCGATCGTACCATAATTGGCAGGTGTATGGAAGGCGTGCAACCGTTTCTACTGTACAGTCGCACGTCTTTTGTCTTACAAGCAGGCTTGAAAACCCGCTGAGAATCGTACGGTTGTCGGCAGGTTTGTGGCCTGCTCGTAAGACAAATGCCGCAGGGGCCGGTGTGCGCAAGCGCACACTGCCTGTTCAGCATTGCGGTCATCGGAAGCCCGCCCCTCAGCGGGACGGGCTTGCGATGATCACAAGTACAATCTGCCTGTCCAAGATGGGCAGATCGTAATTTTTTTAAATTACCTTACAGCCATTTTTTTGTCTTGCGATGGTTATAAGGTGTATGGCCAGCTTTACTTTTAGATATAATAAAGGGATGGGGTGATTTCAATTATTTTTTTTATCTGACAAAATGTGTAATTGGTGCAGTTTACCATTACGGATACATCGAAGAAAAAGTGTTTGGAACTTTGGAAAAATGTGGCAAAGCTCTTCCATTATAAGACAAAGGTTTAATAGCTTTGAAGAATTTTTTGCAAGGTGAGATTCAGACTTTCTGTGTAGCAAATCGGGAAATGGCTCCCTTAAAGTGACAGTAAAGGCAAAAAAAATGTTTGCCTCACCCCAATGTTAATTAAAGCACTTACCTTAAATTATGTCTTTTAATCCGATCATCTTCTTCTTTCCTGTAGTTTTCAGCCTTCTCTCCAGCGCTGGGTGAATCTTCGATCCAGCGCTGACTCCTCTGAGCTTGCTGGCACGTACTCTCCCACGGTGTATGCATGAGGGGGGCACACGTCCATACCTTGTGTCTTTCCTCGCGTCCCGGCCGAAAATGTGAACTGCACCCGCCCCAAGATGCTTTGCGGCCGCCCGTGCAGTTTCACATTTTCGGACGGGAGAGCGCAGTGAACACACAGGTAAGTTTGAACCGCTGTTAAAGTGTTAAAGCGGGTTTTTAAAAAAAGAAACTTTTTGCCTATATCTTCTGCTTTCTAGCAGTAGATATATGCAAAAAAAAGCTGAGGGTTTAGAAACCCTTTAATTCACGCACAACACTACAGAGCTCATTGAATGTTTCAGGACTAGAGGATTTTAATGACCATAGCAAATCATTTGCTTTAAAGATGTATCAGTTTCACCAGTAACATGCTTCCTTGTTTATTGTCTCAAATCACTACTTTAGGGCTTATTTGGCCTTAATTTGGTCTATTTAAATATATGCATTAATTATTAAGGAACACAGTGTACTCATGGACTCTCAAACCTATATTCAATGAGTTCATAATTTGTGAATTTCCTCCTCGGAATGCAGGAGGTATGTGTATATATTATAAAGT